TTTAAACAAAATCTAAACCGCTTTAAGGACGTTTTTAAATCTTGAATCTAAAATCTTTTTAAATCTAAAAATCTTGCATTGCCATCAGAATTGAAGTGAGTTAATTAAAATTTTTAAGAAAATGAGTACTTTGAAGGACGAGGAATATAAGTTTTTTATTGCTTAGATGGGTGGACGAGCTCACAGCCCACCTGGTGTTAAGTGGTTACTGGAGCCCATAGATATCTACAACGAAAATGCTCGAAATGAAAAACTTGAGATATAAGTTCGAAGGTCTCAGTATAGTTACAACGGCTGCCCCGCCCTTCAAACCGAAACGCATTACGGCTTCACGGGAGAAAAAGGCAGGGTGGTGGTACCTACCCGTGCGGACTCACAAGAGGTCCTACCACCAGTAACTTAACTGTAAATTTGACCACCGTGACTTAGCTGTAGATTTTCAGAAAATTAGTTTCATACTTTGAAAGTCTTATAGACATGTATTCTATAAGTTTATAATATTAAACAGTCTCTTTTAGTCTAGAAAAGGACAAAGAACTCTTTCCGTCTCTTTAAAATCAAGTGCATTCCTTAAAGTATTAAAATCGAATAACTGAAAGATTACAATAAAATTCTTCAATTACATTTTTGGTGTTTACCAAAAAACAAGAATTTTGGTTTAAGTCACTTCAGTTCTAATGGTGCGATAGATACTAGTTCCGAAGGTTCGGGCCGTTGACCTAACGAAAAATTGGCTCAGTGGATCTTCTCTCTACCACCACACTCTCAATGCCACTGGATCGGAAACACAACCCACTGAGAAAATCCGACGAGAAACTCAGTAAGTTCACAAATTACTATACTAAGACGAACATTACCTAGCGGAGGGACTTCGGTTCCCTCTGTATTTTGTACCGTATGTTCCTTGGGGAGTGCTCTGAGGAATTATTCGCCTTTACCTTCATCTCGTTTTTACCATCGCACCGCCCGCCACCGGAGTCGAGTTCATCCATACTACCTGCAGCCACTGCGGTCATCCACAGTGCGTTTCCAGAGGTCTTTTTTGCCACTTACCATCCGGCTATGGAATGAGCTCCCCTCCACGGTGTTTCCCGAGCGTTATGATATGTCCTTCTTCAAACGAGGCTTGTGGAGAGTATTAAGCGGTAGGGAGCGGCTTGGCTCTGTCCCTGGCATTGCTGAAGTCCATGGGCGACGGTAACCACTCACCATCAGGTGGGCCGTATGCTCGACTGCCTACATGGGCAATATTTTTTTTTTTTTTGTTGTTTAATATCCTTGAAGCACCGTCTTCTGGTGATATAACGTATGTTAATTTTTTTAACAACAATGTGCAGTTTATGAATAGATGGTTTATTAAGACAAATGCAAGGTCATTGATCCCTAGATTGTCCAACAAATCGTACCGAGTCGTTCATTGGAAACGTGTGCGGTCGTTACGACGCTTTGGCCGATATCAAATTACATAATCATAATAAATATTAAATTACGCTGCGATTACCGTTTTTAACAACAACAATAGTGACCTTTTCCTATGTGGATACGTGTCACGGGTGGTCTAGCTTTGAGTATGCATTACATTAGACCTTCTAGGAAAGGTGGCGTGTTTATTTATTTTAACAACGTTATAACATTATAGCGTTTATCATTAAAGTGGTTAACGATATTTGACCAACAAACTCCAAGCAGTTTTATAATGAATGAATGTAATTATTAGGCGGAAGAGTCGGCTTGCTGGCTTTCCTTGTATGGTTGAAATCTTATGCATATATTTTTTCCTACCTATGCTGATAGCCTTGAGAGGCTGTTTTAGCTTCGCCCTAACATGTAGGTGAGCTCTCGGGGCTCAAACCTGACTAAGTTCCTAACACGAACCCTCTCAAGAGCCGTGCTTTGCAGAATCTACCACCGGATTGGAAACGCGACCCCCTGAGAAGATCCGGCGAGAAACTCAGTGGGCTGTGTCTGAGGGTTAATTTACTCGTCGAGCTCTTCGTCGCAAGCGACTGGTTCGACGAGAACGGTGACCGGTCTTATGCATACAAGCTAGGCTGAGACATCAGCACGAGTTGATTTTCTACCCTGCTAGTGCGGCGAGATTCGCGAGCCGGCTAGCATCTGTCAGCTAGCGAGCTTGCCAATGGATTACCTTACATACGAGGCATAGTATCGGCGATCGCGGCGCTGGCACTGACAATATTGTATCACGATCTACGATTCGACCAACTAGACGTTGGCAGCACCCAAGACAATTGTCCACCTTAACCTAATTGCCGAAACGCGTACATTACAAAACATGTGAATATCTCTGAAATTTTAGCCAATCACCTTTATTTTCATTTCGTAAATCGGTGGACGTGTTCACAGTCCAAATACAGACACGGACAACGCAAATGCCGCCACCCACTTTGGGACCTGAGTTTTAAGTCTTCGTTTTAAAGTACAACAGCTGCCCGTACCCTTCTAACCGAAACACATCACTGCTTCACGGTAGAAATAGGCAGGGTGTTGTTACCTACCCGCGCGGGCTCACAAGACGCATACACGCACGTGCCTTTATTAGGGGTATGTGCACGCTTACTCTTAAGACATTACTACGAGAACTAAATAAGATTATAATCTTACGATCATAGATATAACAAAGAGATGGGATGCAGAATTAGCGTACAAAGGGGCTTTAGCCTCTAAAGGTTTATCGGTACCTATTTGTAATCTGATATACAACAATAAAACCACAACTTCACTTCAGAGTTTATTAGCAAATGCATGAGTGTAATGGGCCGTTAATCAGGATGATTACCACCGTTTTTATTCGTAAATGTATCGATACGGTAGCGTAAAATCAACAGTTCAGTTCAAAACTATGCGTCACTCGAATAGGCAATATTAATTCGTATTAAACATTATTTTTATCTCACCAGTCTCGTGGTAGGCCCCGAGGACGTGGCAGTAAATAGATAATAACCGCAATCCATATCGCACAGTGGACGTTTTACGGACCGATAAAAATTAAGTGTCATACACGCTTTTCGAGTGGCAATACGCTACTTGTGTTTTATAAAAACGACAGACGATTTTGAATTTAAATAAAAAAAGATATAATCGGACCATCAAAATATATTACGTTCTTCTATTTAACACTCTAATAGTATGAGCAATGTTTTAACAGCAAGGGACACCAGTTTTTAAGTTGTTTTATCCATTCTTTTTGAAGGTGCGTTCTTTTTTTTTATTTTTTATTGCTTAGATGTGTGGACGAGCTCACAGCCCACCTGGTGTTAAGTGCTTACTGGAGCCCATAGACATCCACAACGTAAATGCGCCACCCACCTTGAGATACAAGTTCTAAGGTCTCAAGTATAGTTACAACGGCTGCCCCACCCTTCAAACCGAAACGCATTACTGCTTCACGGCAGAAATAGGCAGGGTGGCGGTACCCACCCGCGCGGACTCACAAGAGGTCCTACCACCAGTAAAGACGTTCCAAGTTCAGACGAACCAAACTTTCTAGACCCATTGGGCGTTTAACTTGAAGTACCAACAATTGAAAGATTAATGACCTAAACGTGAACACTAGCTTTCACCTATTTGTTCATTGAATCCATTCAATGGGTAATATTTTATGGATCAGACCGTATTGTGCCTTACAAGTTACAAGCGTCGAGTTTGGTGAGAGTCGTATCCCTTTGTTAAGGTCTCTATGAATTTCAGATGAATGAATGATTTTTCCCGTTGAACTGTAGATGTCAGTTTCTCTCGATTACTCATCCTTGTATAGCATTATAAATTGTTTATTAAAGTACAGATAGACACTATAAAAAACCTTCTTTTATGAATATAAGATTGAAATGAATATGAGAAGATTAAAAGTGATTGATAGTTCGCAGCCCAATGAATTTCTCGCCGGATCTTCACAATGGGTCGCGATTCCGATCCGGCGGTAGATTCTGCGAAGCACTGCCCTTGCTAAGGCTAGTAGATAGCAAATTTCTCTCAGGTTGAGCTCATAGCTCAACTACCCGTTGGCGCGTACTGGAATAACCCCTTAGGCTACCAGCGAAAATCCAGGGGAAAAAATCTTTTATTTTGTTAGTGTTACAATAATAAGGTAACTTGCTATATCCGAATTGGCGATTTTTACGTGAATATTTGTCTTTGGAGAGCTAAACGACGAAAGGAAGATCTTCCACCGAGCGGGTGTTATTGCTCGGTAGACCGACGGTCCGAATGTTGTTGTTCGGAATTTGTATATATGCGAGCTCAACTTGAAAATGTCGTAAGCGAGATTCAGACATCTCTCAAATATCTTGCGTTATATGATGGCTACCGCCACACGTCCAAGTTCGATTCGATATTAAGGAATAATTTTCCAATGTACTCAGATACATGTTCTCACATAATATTTTCTGTTTCAGTGTGTCTGTTTAAATGTTTAACGGCACGCGATTATTGTTGTGGATCGCAAACGATAACAATAGTCACGGAAGGCCAATGTCACTCATTACGTGAAATATACTTTTTTTTTTATTGCCCTTGTAGGCGGACGAGCTGTAGGTGAGTGGTTACTGTCGCTATTGGACAACAGCAATGCCTACCACTAAGTACTCTCCGTAACCTTCAATGCTACACTTTTTTAGTTTACTCTACCTTTATTTAGTCTCCGAATGTTCTGGAAGGTACTAACTCATCATCACATGGCCAAACGGTCATGACTCTACTTGATTCTCTACATTCAATATGAAAGACAGTTGAAATATTTCTTAATGGAATCTAATAAGATCAACGAAAACTACATTAATGTTTCTAATTGGTTTGTACCAATGTTCTTTGAAGTGTACTACTATCATTTAGGCATTTTAGACTACACAGTTTGAACGTTAATTATAATGATACTGTGGGTCATTCATAACTTGAATGATCGTAAATTATTGATATTTCACTTTTCTGCTGATTAATTATTTATAAATAAATTGATTTAAAAAGGATGTGAAATTACTAACCTGTTTTCTTTTCAAGGGCAGCTGATGATGATGCTTCAAAGGCAGCGGAGCGAGCGCGGCAGCCTCGTCTCTGGCGGCGAGATCGTCCAGGAGCGCGATGCACTTCTCCTGATCCTGTTCCTCGTCCGCGACCAGTAAAAACCGACGCCAGTGGGACGAGTCAAAGCCCCAATGGCAGGTGCGGTTCTCCGTCTCGTGGGAATGGCACACGAACCGGCGCGGCACATACAGCGCTCGGCACTCTGAGCACTGCACCAGACCCGCCTCGGGTGAACACACACCCCGTGCTCCTCCAAAACACTCGTGATATACACGGAAGCCGGGTAGCTTGTGGGGACGCGAGGCAGCCGGGGCATGCAGCAGCGCCGCGCACAGCCGCTCTGCGTCCGTCTGCGTGATGAGTCCGCACGAGGGCGCCGACCTCGGTAACACTCCTGTCGACTTCAGTTCGTGCAGCTGCTCCGGGGTGCAGCGCGAACAGTATATTTGTAATTCGTCACACACGCGATTTATTTGCTCTAATGTGAAATCCGTAAGCACAGAAGTTAGGATCTGCGGCAAGCACAGCCGCCGTTCGCCGCCGACGCTGAAGCAGGAGATGGGTTCTCCTTCGAGGCGAGTCTCGCCGCGCTCACCCAGTTCGGCGTCAGCGGCCAGAAGGATGGGCGGCGCGGCGGGCGGTGGCGGAGGCGGCGGCGGATCGGGGCCGCGCGGGGCTCGGCCGCCCGGACCCTGCAGGCTGCGCGGCGCGCTGGCCTGGTATGTCTTCAGTACGGAGGTGATGTGCGGCGTCACCACGTCCATGATAGTTCCGCGCCACCGTTGCTGGGGCTCGGCAGACGCATGAGGCTACGCGCCGGCACGCGCGACGCACTCCACTCGCGATCGAACCATGTCTGCCGAGCGTGCCGTCGCGACGGCCGGGCCGGGCGCGAGCGGCCCGCGCGCCTCCTCGCCGCCCCGTCGCCGCGCGCCGCCTCTGCGAAAAATACGCATACGACCTCGTTACGTAGCAAAATCGTCGCACTCTTCTGCTGATCTCGAGAGCTGCCCTCTAGTCAACTTTTGGATCTCTCTCTCACTTTTCAACTTTTGAGTGAAAAAGAATGTAATCGCTATGAGTTAAGGCGCGCGCGGGCGGGGCGTGGATCCCCGCGACCGGCTGCAGTCGAAGCAGCAGACGGATGGCTCGACTACTGGAGAGTCTAGCCAGCGCCCCGCACTCCGCAAAGCACGCCGCCCCTCGCCGCGACGAGTCACGTGATCGACCTTCCCGTCAAAATATCCAGAATGGCGGCGCAAGCCGTGGACCGCCCGATTCAAAGATTTGTATATGTAGACAGGACAATGTGCGTTAATTTTTTAACCTTTGTCAAAATGTATTACAAAAGTAAAGCTGCGAGATCGTATGATTGAGTAGTAGTTCAATGATGTATCTATTAACACCTACTAATTACAATATTTAGTGATGAGTATAATAATTAAGTTCGATAGTACGTGGATCAAAGAACAAACTGAAATTCTCTGTCTAATTAAATTCTGAGACCTTTAGAAACACTATACCACTCACATTCCAAGCTGTTCTATTCGTTTCTTACATGCTTTGCTATGGATTTATATGTGCATTCAATTTAGTATACACACTATCTAGTATAAAATTATAAATTCTTTTGTTGAAGGGGAGATAGCTCATTTTTGTGCATTAGCATAGCAGACATCCCGAAGTGAATCCTATCAATCTATGGGGTACTTGAAGCCTGCACTGACCTGTATTAACGGGATATTCAACTAGGCCAAAATTAGCGCGAGTCCTAGAGAACGGGCTTCCATCACTGTGATTGTTCTCTGTGTGTGTCAAATAACGGTAACTCTCTGGAAATTTTAGGTCTTAATAATTTGAGTATCGTAATTTGATCGTTTGGAACCTCTGGGTCTGCGGAGGGACTTCGGTTCCTCTGTATTTTGTACCGTAAGTTCCATGGGGAGTGCTCTGAGGAATTGTTCAAGATGATATCGGCATCTCGTTTTTACCATCGCACCGCCCGCCACCGGAGTAGAGTTCATCCATACTACCTGGAGCCACTGCGGTCATCCACAGTGCGTTTCCAGAGATCTTTTTTGCCATGTACCATCCAGCTATGGAATGAGCTTCCCTCCACGGTGTTTCCCGAGCGCTATGACATGTCCTTCTTCAAACGAGGCTTGTGGAGAGTATTAAGCGGTAGGCAGCGGCTTGGCTCTGCTCCTGGCATTGCTGAAGTCCATGGGCGACGGTAATCACTCACCATCAGGTGGGCCGTATGCTCGTCTGCAAAAAAAAAAGTTTTGTCGACTGTCTCCAAGAAACAATAAACAATAGGCATTATTGCGTCTAAATAAACATACTCAATTCTGTGTCGTCGAGACACGCGCGGGGCTTACAAGGCGCGCGGGGAAGGGACGCGGCGCCATGCGGGGAGGGGGCAGCTGCGTCTACAGAGACCGTTCGCTTGCCGCGCTGTGAAAATTTATCGCTAAATTCAACCAACAAAAATAAATTCACCTTTATTGCAATGTCGTAAGCTCGATAATGCTTTAAAATTCAATCGAGTTTTGCTATTTCTATTACCAGTACGCTAGAATTTAACGTTCTAAGCCCAGAGTCGTAAAGTGTATTTTAGTCTGACATCACACATAGTTTCGTGTTCAAAACAACTAGTCGCCAGCCGTCGCCAACCATGGACGCAATGTTTGTTTGTAGTTGCACTCTCGTTTTTGTTTTGCCACGATAGATGAGCAGGCAATTTGAAAATGCTTACGCACTTATTGCTTAGTTTTGAGTTTTGTGTGACCGTACGGGTGGAAGGTATCATACCCGCGCAGAGCTCTCCTATTTCTGCGGGGTAGCAGTAATGCGTGCCGACTTTAAAGGTAAAAAAGTATGAAACAGAGAGAACCTGTCGCTAGCGACGAAGGGCTCGACGAGTAAATGAACCCACAGACACAGCCAACTGATTTTCTTGACGGATCTCCTCAGTGGGTCGCGTTTCCGATGCGGTGGTTGATTCTGCGAAACACTGCTCATGCTAGGGTTACTGTTAGCAACGTCGTCAGGTTTGAGTCCCGTGAGCTCACCTACTTGTTAGCTTACGCTGACATAGCCTCTCAAGGCTATCATTAGCTTAGGGGAGGAAAAAAAAAGACTGGTTGCCTAAACTTTAGGCAACTTAAAGCATTCTTTACCAGGTACCTAAAGGTAGTGCAGAGTAAATACCCGTAGGTGCATTAAAGTAAAAATTAAACGCACAAAGATATACACAAAAATACATACATACTTTTATACTCGTACATAAGTGTAAATAGCTTTAAACATTAATCAAAGTAGTATCAACATATGTGAGGCCTTTAAAATCAAAGGCAGCTAAACGCCTTAACGTCGTGAAATGGATTAACAATGGCGCTATCTTGTTTAGTTAGTTGGACACGCTTTAGTGTTTTCATGTTATAACAAATGCAGCTAAATCTCTAACAAATTCAGTTCAAAAAAAATATTTTTACTCTGTACTAAGTACTAATAAACGAAGTTTTATCATTTAAAATTCAGATTATTAGTCATATTCTCATTCTTTATAAATCTGCTTTAAAATAAAGAATATCGTAGCTATCCGAACAGTTATTTCAGCTTCTCAAACCGGGAGTGTTGCTAACATTGGCGCTAGCAAGAGCAGTACTTCGATGGATCGGGACGATCCGTAATGACTTGCTTAGGGCCGATTTTTTCTAGTTTACCTGAATATTTGACAGACTTGGATTTAGCTGCCTTTGATTTTATAGGCCTCATATTATACTTCATAAATTCATGACTGTTCAATCCCAAATTAACGGCTTGGCATTTCGTTGGGATTCAGGGTTAAACCATACTTAGTCGACTAACTGCGATATAGTTCAAGTCCCTATTTAACTGGTTTATTGCCTGAGAAATAAATTCCACACTCGCCTGTGTATAAAGGTGCAAGTCATCTGCATACACATGATACGCACACGGAAGATTAAGATAAGAGATTAATAATTTCAAAAAGCTGTGACAAAATACTCACCAGAGCCGACGCTACACTATTATCATCTACACTATCAAACTTGGAGAAGTATCATCGATATGAGTAGAGTGTCGGTGTCTTCGAAAATATATGATATATATACATATAATTATGTATATAAAACAATACCAGCTATAGGAGAGATCAAAGTTAAATAAATAAAAAGATATCGTGATTGACGGTATTGAAGGCGTTTGAAAAATCAATGAATACCAACACTTTAGCTTCCCGCATCCCCGCCCTAATATGGCCAATCATTTTGAGGAGAGCGGAATCGGTGCTGTGACCTGGTTGAAAGGAAGAGCTTAAGAGGTTGTTCCGGAACACAAACTGCGACAGTTATTTGTGTACGCAGGCTCCGATCGCCTCGGATAGCAAGGGAAGAATTGACATGGGCCTAAAGTGATTTTGAAGGACTAGGTTAGGAGTTTTAGGTAGAGCAATTACACGGCTTTACGCCAGTGCAGGAAAAGAGGCAGAATATAGGGAGAAAGTTGTTTTGTGCCCTATAGCGGGCAAAGGATGGCACAGAATTGTGACAATCATATGGTGACTTATATTATGACAAACCACCGCATTCGATTTTATGGGCAGGTTAATATTTTTGATCTCATCCACAGCAACGGAAGAAAATTAAAATAGGAAAATTTAAAATTGAAAATTTAAATTTAAGAGTCAACATTAAGACGAGGTAAAAGATTCAAGTGCCTAGTTCAAAGTCCGATATTTCGTTTTGATTTTTTTAGTGATGTAGTCAAGCAGAAATGAAAGACGATATCATTTAAACTTATCGTCTATTATCTATTCTATATTATTATCTATTCTATCTATTATATACTATAAATACTGAAACTGTTTTGGTCTTATTACTGACGTGATATACCTAGTGGTGAAAACGCAAATGAAACAAAAGAAATCCACTATTGTTTAGATTTGGTGAAAGAGCCAACAAATAATTTAAAAATAATAATAACAAATGAATTTTTAATAAAACTTTTTTTTATTGCTTACATGCGTGGACGAGCTCACAGCCCACCTGGTGTTAAGTGATTACTGGAACCCATAGACATCTACGACGTAAATGCGCCACCCACCTTGAGATATAAGTTCTAAGGTCTCAATTATAGTTACAACGGGTACCCCTTCAAACCGAAACGCATTACTGCTTCACGGCAAGAATAGGCAGGGTGGGGGTACCTACCCGCGCGGACTCATAAGAGGTCCTACCACCAGTAATTACGCAAATTATAATTTTGCGGGTTTTATTTTTATCACACGATGTTATTCCTTCACCGTGGAAGTCAATCGTAAATGTTTGTTGAGTACGTATTTCATTACAAAAATTGGTACCCGCCTGGGATTCGAACACCGCCGCATCGCTCAACACGAATGCACCGGACGTCTTTTAGGCAACGACGACTTCAAAAACTGCTACTTCTTAAAACTTAAAAAAAAAAGCGTTCGTTTAAAAAAAATAACTGCTCAGTATTTTTAATTGTATCCCCTCCAACATTCCTTTGAGAATATTTAAATCACAAAATTGACACCATCTAAATTATCAGTATATTAATATTGATCATTTAAATTCCATCAATTTAATATTTTTATTTATTGATTCGTACAAATTAACACAATGCGTCTAACGTACAGTGAAAACCAGGGTTTTCAGAAGGAAGCCTGAATAACTATGGGGGTAGAGGTAAGGAGAACCGTCTCATATGGGAGGAAGCTTGAAAAAGTGTCCCACTTTCAGCACTAAATAATAGTTAAACCGTGAGTTAAACAATCCTCCAGAATGGCGCTAGCATAGGCACAGGGTATGTGAATTAAGCAGTTGTTAAAGTTAACTGATTGAAGTATGCTGAGTTAGGAAATTCAATATATTTAATGACTAGAGTAGTTAGTGACAGTGTAATATACAAGACCTCAAATGTTTACGTAGTCAAAACTAATTTCGTTAATATAACCTAAAATTATTATCTTATCCGCTTTAAATAAAATACTTTGTGATTTTGTAGTGCTTACTGTTATAATACATTGTAATACATAATAATATCAATAATGGGCAAAATTGGCGTGGTGAAAAGTTGTCCAAGTGGGCGTAAAGTTGGATGTTTTGAGCATGAAAATGAATTAACTAAGAGTTATTGAAATATATTTTATTATATTATATTAAGAAAAAAATAATTAATATTGTGATGCGTGCTTATTTTCCGAGTGTCTGGACATGAGACTGAGCCAAGCACTTCACTGTGCCACTGACCGACTAAAGTAGTTACAAATTACAAAAAAAACACAGGCGGGCGCATCATGATGCTCAGCAATGAGTGATCGACTGAAGGAGGAGGAAGGAGAGCTCATTTTCTAGCAAAATCTGAAAATGAATAGGAAAAATGCCAAATTACTGAGTTAAGAGTAAAACTTATATCTTTAAAAAATGTTTTTGTATATAATAGTTTTTTTTTTTAATAAATTTTAATTTGCAAGTTCAAACATACTCATTATCTTTTAATGCAAGCCTAAATGTTTTTAAATATCAATTCTTTTTATATTCTTCATTAATTATTAACATGAATTTTTACATCTATTTTAAAAGTGACATAATATAAGAAATTTACTTTTATTATTTTGCTTTTTAAGAACTTTTGTTTTCTACTTTTACAATTCGCAATTTTTATTTTTTGTATTACTTCCTAAATGTTACATTGATCAAGCGTTAAGAAATGATAAGCACACACTTACATAATTATAAAACTTCGGTTTTCATTTTATTCTTATTTTGAAAAGTGCGCCATAACGAGACGGAAGTTCTTTCGTCCTTTTTTATTTCTCTATCAGTCTAATAACTTTCAGGCTACGTTTAAATAATTATTTATTCGTAGCTTTCAGGGCCTTTTCAACAATTTACCCGGTTGCTACTGTAGCGCCACCCTTATTTAGGAGATTTTAACGGACACTTTTTCACACACAGAGACGGTTCTCCTTACCTCTACCCTTCATATGAATAACGGGATAGCAAAACAAAGAAACCCAGTGCTCTTGGCAGCGTTGCCAACTCTACCAACTTTTCGGTAGATCTACCAACTTTTAGTGTCGTAATCAAACCTACCACTTTATCTACCAACTTTTGAAGTTTTCAAAAAGTTTAAATCATAACGCGATTCAAATAACAAATAACTGATTGTAATTTTTAAAACGTTTCCATTAAACACTATCAAAATGAGTGAAAGTGAAAGTGTAAACGAAGAAAATTCTCCTCCTCGAAAATAAAAAAGATGCATTACAATCAAAAATATTCTCAACTATGGGGAAAAAGAAGAACATTAGCGGCCTGTAATTCTGTTTTATCATTGTATTTCTAATAAAAATAGTTCATATATGTCTTATCCAATCGAAAAGTAAATTAAGGATGCAAGATTCTTATTGGAGGGTCTCTAAAAGACTTGGAAACTACCAACTTGTAGAACCCTATCTCCCACCTTGACGAATTTCGAGCAACGCTGGCTCTTGGAGTGAGATTTTTTTTTGGATTGAGATTATGTGACCTGGTAATGAGACCTTTAAGCCAAATCTTATATTTTCTCCATTGTACCATAAATATGAAGCAAAATGAGACGACGTTGTTTAATTTGGGACTTTAATCAATTGGGATGAAATTAAATGAAACAAAGTGAGATAGAATGAAATATAGTCTCAGTAAAATGGCGGTTAGTTATCTACCGAGACTTTTTCAGTAGATTATTGGGAAGAAATCAGGACCAGTGGCTTTATTTCATTCTTTCTCATTTGTGCACTTTCACAGTTTCTAAACAGTTCATAAGCCACCAAACACATTTCAAACTGAAAAAACACGGAATGAAAAAAATTAAACAATTCACAAAACTTCACTCTTCACTTTCACGCCAATTTCAAGGCCAGAGATTTAAAAAAAAAATCTGAGCTTTTTCAATTTAGAACTACAGAATAATATTAATTAGGTAATTTTTTATTTATTTTCGACTTGAACCCAATTCCAATTGTAACTAGTTAGGACGCAACAGAATATAAAAATACTGACTGTTAAACATATTCTAATTTCACGCAATCAAGCACCGTACAATGGGGTAAATAGGGACAAAATCGACCTTCAGATTGAATTTTAAAATAGTTCCAATTAAATAGTCACTGCTCAACCAAAGAAATAAGTTGAGTCTTGAACGTACCTAGGTGATAAAAACCGTTACATTATTTTAATTATTCATTTTAAAGAAATAATGGGTAAAATAATGGCCGTCCCAATTTACCCAGCGTCCGGGGTAAATTGACACGGTTAAGGGTTAAATTGGGATATTTGTAAGGGTTGTCAACTCGCAGTACTGCGATATATAGGTAGGTGCCATATAATTATTTATATGGACCGAAATGATGAATACAATCCATAATTTAAGCACAATACACAACATAGTGTAAATTAAGCTGGTTTCTATTCCGAAGCGATGTGACGTGAATGATAATCAACAATACAATGATCAAAAAAAGTATGTGCATGTTATATTTTAGAAAATTATTATTTAATTTCCTTAAAAATCACAACTCTGAAACAAAATCATAAAATAGAATAAAAAATAGAAAACAAAAGGACTGGAAATGCAATAATACAATTTTATTTAATCAACATTTTCAAAATGATCTTTGAGCAAGAGTAAGATATCAGGTGAATAAGATAAAAAAACAGCTTTATCTGATTACTGCCAATAATAACAAAAATAAAAGAAATTCTTTCTAAGCTAAATAACTAAACTCAATTAATTCACTCACTCATAATTGGATATCTCGGATTTTTAATTAATGTTACATTTAAAATCTGAGGCCTGTTTTTATTTGTGTGTGTTCGTTGTGAATGTTAACAAAATCATGATTCGACGCGTGAATAGATTCTGAAATAACAAAAGTTTTGATTCGTTTGAGTTCTTTTAACTTTTAATTTTTTTTATTGCTATAAAGAACATACGACCGGGCAGATATTACAAGGTAAATGTCCCAAAAAAAAGTAATTATATATATACTTTTCTTTTACCTATAATACTTACATAAACTAACTGATAAACACATTAACCTTCTTTACATCACGCAATTAAGTGATAGTATAGGCTAAAAAATCGATTATAAGATATCAGTGACAACCCTAACAAGCCATCCCTATTTTGTCTTTTGGCGTTCCAATTTTGTGTTTTCTCGTCCCTAATTTTTCCAGTCTCGTTCCAAATTACCCTACATACGTCCCAATTTTCCCCAAAAAGAAAGGAAAAAATATACATTTTTTATTTTGTCGAAATATTGTTTTTAAAATAAGAATATTGCAACTTACCGTTTGTTGTGGTATTTCCAGGTGTATTAAAAACTTATATAAACTGTGATCTTATTGAAAAAACAACGATAATATTACTTTTTTTTAAAGTTCTTTAAGCTGTTTCAAAACGCACTTTTCAACCACTATTTTCAATTTAATTTGACGAATTTTTGGGACCAACTTAACTCATATTTAGTACTTCCATAGTTAACTTGGTTTTTCTTCTATACATTGATAAATAATAATATAAACAAAATTAGGTAGATTCCGTGCTACAGGTACTTTGAGAATCTTCCGCAGGTTTGTCCCAATTTACCCCAGGATCCCAATTTACCCCATGTCATGGCACTGGGTACTTCAATTTTAAAACGAAATTATATAAAATGTCTTTAACCTATCCATAGATGGAGTTCTCTTTCTAAAATGTCAGCTACTTTGGGAGTATCTGTCTACGTCAAACATTACTCACGGAGAGCAAACATCGTTGTTTTATAAAGTAAAATAAAGGTCAACACGACTTTCAGTACCTCAGTGATTATTACCATCCTTTAAGTCTCTGTCCTGTCACTGTCAAACTCACTATCACGCACTGGTCTTTTTTTTCTTGTTAAGTAGGTACGGTACCGTATGTCAATTTTTTTGGAGTTTATGGCCTGGTATCTCGTCTTTTATTGGCTTCTTGCGATGCCATTGTCGTCATTGCTAAGTGTATAAAAATCTACATGTAATAAGAGAAAACCTTTAATGAATATAAGGTTTTAATATGCTAAAATTAACAGTAAAATTTGTTTAGTTACATTAGATACGTTGACAAATAACTAATAAAACAGATTGACGATGACATCAAATTATGACCGTTAATTTCAGGTAAGAAATTTACATCACTGCAATTATTTATTATATGTATACTACATTATTAATCTGGTATATGAAAAAAAATTATATGGAGTGAAATGAGATGGAATTGATTTATTTGAGACTGTAATCAATTGAAATGAAATTAAATGAAACCAGATGACATAATACGATGAAACAAGGGCTTAGTAAAATGGTAGTTAGTTATTTATTAAAACTTAAGCGGACTTTTTGGTAGAACACGAGAAGCTAACCCAATGACTTTGTTTCATTTTCTCACAGTTCAAGCCTGCAGAAACACTAAATTAACGAAATATAACATACAACTTCGCTCCTCATGTTCCCGACAAAAAGCCTACTACCACTTTAAAATTCACAATCTATAAATTCAAACTTTAATGTCATCTGTCAATATAATAAAATTTTTGATTCGCCGAACTTCAAATGTCAACGTCAAACCTCGAGCCATTAAGCAAGCCAATATCGACCAAAGACCTTCCTATTCTGTTGGGTTACAATGTTCATATAGATTCAATTTAAAATATTTACCCATACATGCACATTTCGCTTTGATACCGCTGTAAGCTATCACGGTTAACACTTAGCTCGTGGCCTTCGCTTGAGTAAGTGGTTCTTAACTTTTATTATATTACTAGACCCTTGATTTGGAGTTTAATAATGTTAATAATGTCTTGTTTTTAGATGGATCCTTGGGGCTCTGAAGTAGGGAATAAAGGAATTATATCGAATTTCGAAGATAATTTTCAACCATCGACGGAGAAGTTAGCGGATTCACTTCAATATCTAGCCTTGTTGGGTAAGTTAATAGTGTTTTTTTACGAGTTTTACTATCATTCGCCTTGACTTGCATATTATGGTGTAATTTAATTCTTTACTTTTTAAATTTTGCATTGTTTTGTTATTATATTATTATCATTTCCATCTTTGGTGATTGTGTTAATGATAAGATTGTTTACTGATTTTTTAAGATTAATAGGTGTATAGTCAAGAACTACATTTATAAAAACGGAAACAAATTAAAAATCAAAATAAAAAAAATTCAGAATGTATTAGTGCCAACTATAGGAACAACATTAATAACTGTACAAGTCAAGTTGTGCAGTTGTCACATATGGTTTTGCAGTTACGGCTTCAACCATAAACTTACATGTCATTCGACTCACATTCTCAACACATAATGATGGCCATGTCATTAGGCATCCATGACCAGGAAAACTGTGAAGTATTTGTTACATTGAATAATAATATAATAACAATAAAAAAACTTGGCATTAAACGGTAAAAGAATTGTTAATTAAGAAGGGACAATGTTTAAGAAACAGGGTGACTGATTTAAGAGTACCTGACAAGAGTATTCTAGTCTCATTGTGTCTCAGAACAGATGAAGTAGATACCGGTTCACAGTTCCCGGCCACATTCAAGGAATATAGGATAGGATTGAATATTAAAAATCGAGGATCATTCGTGGTGTTGTACTATTAGATTTACTAATGATGATCATAAAATCAAAAAAAAGTTACTTTTTGTCATGCCTCAATTAAATTCTCTAGAAAAGGCACACCAACATTAAATGAAAGATAGTAATATATTTTCATCAATAATCGTAGCAATTATAACAAAGTGCTATAAATTATATGAGTTTCTTTCTTATAGACTGAGATAAGCTTTTATTTATTTTGCAGGACTTGCACATTCAGAAAATACTATTTGTATGTTGACATATATCATGTTTAGATACTTAAATATAAGTCCAGGAACCGATTATAATGTTGAAATGGTTTGAAAATACATTTTTTTTTCGGGCCGTAGTCAGAACATCTTACGAGGTCCCCGCGCCTAGGGGGCGCGCGCGTATGTGGGACTTAACGATCTGCAAGGTGTTGGGAGCAGACCATGGGCCCGAAAAATTTTAGGGCCCTACCCACTAAACGACTCCCCTGCACTCTTACACATGTGAGATCTAAAAATACTAAAACGTCCGATCTCCGTCCGGGGTCAGAACCCGTTCAGAGTAGGGGGGTTCCCGTGGTCAACACTACAACCAGGCACGCGGCGCCACCCCGAGGACGCCCGACCGACGGGTCGTCGAGGCGATAGTCGAAGACCAACGACGTCGGTCTCCGCGGTACGGCGGCCCTACCAGGCCACCCAGGCGATGTCGCTGGTGTTCCGGGATGCTCCGCTGGGCCAGAACCAGCCTGCCGGGTCGGAACGCGATACACCGCCGACCGGGTTGCTCTTCCACAGTCAGTTTGGCGACGGCAGCGACGGCGACAACGCGGGCCGCTTCGCAGTTCGCAGCCGCCGCCGATGCGTCGTCCCATTCTATTGGTGCCAGCGCGCTAGAGTGACGGTAGCGTGCGGCGCAGCCTCAACTCTCTCAGGTCGCTACGTGACCATTACCGGGAGGAGACTGTCTCCTAAAAATGAAAATACCAAACTTAACTCATCAAAATTACCAAAAAATTAATACCAATAAAAGTGGATCGAACGAATGCCCATATAGTTGTGGTATTATTATAAAAGTTTACACGTAACTTTCATTTCAGAAAGAAAACTAAAAGCGGTCCGATCGAAGAACAAGGTGGTGGAAAACTTATCAGCGTACAGAGCCGATTGCATCGGTCGTTTGCTCCGGGAGGGCTGCGATCTCGACCCTGTTATCGGGGACACAGAGGCCGATAAACTATTGGAGGACAAACCGGAGTCTGAATAAGCTTTGTGAGTAAAAATGGCTATGTCGTCTAGCATCGATTTATCCGGCACCACGTACTGCGTCCTGTCCGGCGCCTCCCAGGGCATCGGGCGGGCCATTGCCGTGGAGGTTGCGAAACTTCTCGGTCCGAAATCCGTTATCCTGCTCCTGGCACGTAACAAAGATCAGCTCGCCATCACCGCCGCCCTCTGCGAGTCGGACAACGTGAGTGTTGTCTATGAATCGATAGACTTGAGTAAGGCATCGCCGAGACAGATGCACGACGTGATTGTTCGCTCTCTAAAAGGAAGGAGCGTATCCGATTTCGCGGCAAGTATTATATTCCACAACGTAGGCTCGTTAGGTAACTTGTCCATCGATACCGCACAAATGGAGAATGTTCCGGAATTAAGAGAATACTACGATTTGAACGTTTTCAATGTGATCGCTTTGAATACGCAATTCCTTAAGATTTTTGATGAGATAGAGGATAGGCTCGTGATCGTTAACATAACGTCTCTCTGCGCCATCAAGCCTATGAGCGGAATGGCGTACTATTGCAGCGGTAAAGCCGCAAGGGAGATGTACTTCAAGGTCTTGGCCGAGGAGAAGAAGCACGTTCGCGTGCTCAATTACTCCCCGGGACCTGTCGAGACCGCCATGATCGACTACGTATTGGCGGAGGCGGTCAATGAGAATTTGCGCGAAGTTTTCACTTCTTTCAAGAATCAGGGGACCTTGCTCAAGCCTGAGGTAACTGCTCAGAAATGCGTCCGAGTCCTCCAGGCCGGCAAGTTTAGTCCGGCAGAGCACGTCGACTATTTCGATGACGAATGAATGTGTGTTCGTCGGGTCTTCGTATCCCCTTGCGGGGGCACGGGTCATGCCTCGGGGTTAATGGAATGTGTGTTTCGTAATTGCTCTCTTTTTATATGTGTAGTACGTAGAGCGTTCTTAGACAGTAGATTTCTTACTTCGACCGACTTCAATAAGATAAACGTACATATGAATTAATTACATAGAATACTCACAGCTAGTTTTTTTTTTGCTTAATTTTCTGGGAATTGCAGGTTATTCATAAAGATTTAAATAGATAAAATACAAACAAACGTTTTTCAATGTAATGTTTTTATAGCTAATACGAAAAAATTAAACCAAAATTTGGGATCCTCATATCAAAATGATGTAGATTTCATATTTTATAGTCACAACTTTAGAATTCGCTTTGAAAGTCGTTATTGAACTTATGTGTTGGAAATATAGCAAATTTTTGTTAGTTCAATGTTATGGAGGGATGAAAATCTCATTTTAAAATTTCTCAATCTCTCATCTCAATTTAAAAAAAACATTGGTTGATGACGAAATAAGGATATGTTCTTCTTCGTTTGTAATTTTGTATGCGTTCTGAGGTCTCATTGGAATAGGCGGCACGGCATAGGCGAAACGTCTTTTTCTTTTTCCTACCTATGCTGATAGCCTTAAGAGGCTATTTCAGCTTCTCCTTGACGTGTAGGTGAGCTCACGGGGCTCAAACCGGATGTGTTGCTAACACTGGCCCTAGCAAGAGCAGTGTTTCGGAGAATCTACCACCGGATCGGAAACGCGACCCACTGAGAAGATCCGGCGAGAAACTCAGTGGGCTGTGTCTATGCGTTAATTTACTCGTCGAGGATACGTAAATGTTTACTGGTGTTAGGACCTCTTGTGAGTCAGCACGGGTAGGTACCACCACCCCGCCTATTTCTGCCGTGAAGCAGTAATGCGTTTCGGTTTGATGAGTGGGACAGCCGTTGTAACTATACTTGAGACTTTAGAATTATATCTCAAGGTCGGTTGCGCATTTAAGTTATATATGTCTATGGGCTCCAGTAACCACTTAACACCGGTAGGACTGTGAGCTCGTCCACCCACCTAAGCAACAAAAATAAGCAAAAATTGGCATAAACGCGCCTGTAACTCGAAATAAATATATTGCAATAATATTAGTTTTAAGCGAATATAATAAAACACGATCTGTTAACTAATCGATCTAATTATAGAATACTCAATTTTTTCACAAAATAATCTTAAGAAATTTCTAAAAAGTAAATAAGTATATTTAATTTGTTCGATTTGTTGAATAGGGAACGTTGAGAATATGTCGGACTTACATTCCTGAGGTCTAATTCTGTAATCTGAGGCCTAAGTTAAAAACATTCCACTTATTTATAGATAATAAATTATATGTCATAACCAAACAGGATGAATAGAACAGCTTTTTTTTTTGCCTAAATTGTATATATTTAGATTTCATTTTACAAGTCCACGGTATATAATTAAGTATGTAAACAGTCATATTTTTTGGTGAGTCAACTAACACACACTAAAATTAGATATTACGCTTATGGTCTTATACATAACAACTGGTCGAATCTGTATAAGAAAACTCTCCGAAAGTGTTAAATTTGTAAGGAAAAACACTTGGACCGTCTATTATAATGACCGGCTTATATAATATAAAGTTTCGATAATTAATGAATAAGACCTTTACTATCTAAAATGTACTGTATATTGTTATATATAATTTTTATATCTATGTTTATCACAAAGTGTATTATTTCCATATCATCTATGTGTATCTAAATTAAACCTAATGTTGTGTCACAAATTTACATCAACTAAAATAAGTTCTGTTCATCCTACACACTATGTCTGTCTGTATAACTAATACAGTAATAATATTGATAAACTGAATATGAATGGAATTCATAAAAATAAACGCTTGGATGTATGTCAAATGTGTTTTTCTTACCCTTTGCCACCTTATCTTTTTTTTCTTGTTATTTATGAGTTACATTCATATTTTGTTATCTGTAGTTCCTCTAAATTATATTTAATTAATTTTCTTGTCAATTTTTTTTAAAATTCTGAATTTTTATTTGTTGTTGTTTGATTTGCAATTGTTTTAATTGTATAATTTTTTATTTTAATGTTAGTAGAACAGATTTGAAAATAACAGCTAATTAATGTCAAAATAATAATTGAACCATAAAAATGGGTAATTTTAAATGAAACTATAGTTTGAGTATTATCGCGATCAAGAGTAATCCGTCGCTTGCGACGAAGGGCTCGACGAGTAAATTAATTAACCCACAGACACAGCCCACTGAGTTTCTCGCCGGATCTTCTCAGTGACTCGCGTTTCCGATCCGATGGTAGATTCTGCGAAGCACGGCTCTTGCTAGGGTTCGTGTTAGCAACGTCGTCAGGTTTGAGCCCCGCGAGCTCACCTACAAGCTCGGCGAATCTAGAATAACTCCTCATGATTATCTACTAGAATGGGTAGGGGAAAAAAAAGTAATAAAGGCTAATGTTTTATTTGAAAAAAGAAATTGATTCATAGATTTAACTAGCACCGCCATACTATTAGTGCTACGAATCACTGTTCGTCTATTTTCAGTAAAATTATCGTTATGTTAATTATCTACAACAACTGCAAACGCAGTGTACACTGAACGATTGACTTCCACGGTGAAGGAATAACATTGTGTAATAAAAATCAAACCCGCAAAATTATAATTTGCGTAATTACTGGTGGTAGGACCTCTTGGGAGTCCGCGCGGGTGGGTACCACCGCCCTGCCTATTTCTGCCGTGAAGCAGTATTGCGTTTCGGTTTGAAGGGTGGGGCAGCCGTTGTAACTTACTTGAGACCTTAGAACTTATATCTCAAGGTGGGTGGCGAATTTACGTTGTAGATGTCTATGGGCTCCAGTAACCACTTAATACCAGGTGGGCTGTGAGCTCGTCCACTCATCTAAGCAATAAAAAAAAATAAAAAAACATTTATTGAGTACGTATTTCATTAGAAAAAACCCGCCTGCGGGATTCGAACACCGATGCATCGCTACACACGAATGCACCGGACGTCTTATCCTTTAGGCCACGACGACTACAAAATATTGCAGAAGCAATTTAAATCGCCGTTTATCATTCTGAGTTATAGGCGTTTAGATTTTAGAAGGCATGTTATGCTAGCATCCTTTTCACGCAAAGCAAGTTTACGTATAGAAAGACGGTGAGAAAAATAACGTTATTCAAAATTAGGTAGACTGTGTAATCGGAGAATGTGTTTGAAAAATAGTTATTTGTTCTAAAGCCTATTAAAGTTCTAAAGTTTATAGTTGAAACTTAAAAACAAAAACCTAATTACGAAATCAATTTACGTAAATCATATTGTAATATCCTACTAATATTATAAACGCGAAAGTTTGTATGAATGTATGGATGTATGTATGTTTGTTACTTACTCTTTCACGCAAAAACTACTGAATGGATTTGAATGAAACTTTACTATAATAAAGCTTACACATCAGAATAACACATAGGCTATAATTTATAAAGATACTACCGGTTGTAGTGTCTCAATCGATAAATAAAATACCTTTTTTTTTTTTTAACGCTGCGGAATACATTTACGGATACCCGGTCGAGGGGGGTAACGGACCGGGTTATGTCGGACTCCGGCGCCTCCTGAGAGGAAGAAGGGGAGAAGAGAAGGGCCGAGGTCCTTCACCTCCCCCAATTTCTCACAGCAGACTACGCCTTGAAAAAGGCGCGCGAAGCACTTGCCCCGCAGAACGACTACCGACTAAACCCCATCGAGCTCCACCACACCGACTACACGAAACTTAATAAAATAAAATACCTAAACTTTTGTATAAAATAAACTTAAAACAAACAAAAGGAATCGTCGCGTCGGACGGAGTACAACATCAAAGGAAAAACAAAATTGTTATTTTTATTTAATTCCGAGCATTTTTATATTTATCTACCTTTTAAACCTTCTCTGGTCTTCCTTCCACAAATAATTCAAGACCAAAATTAGCCAAATCGGTCCAGCCGTTCTCGAGTTTTAGCGAGACTAACGAACAGCAATTCATTTTTATATATATAGATATTCTGAATTACCCAAAATATATAACGATGAGTGTCAAGTGAGTAGGAAAAAATCTGCTATCTTATTTTCATAATCAATAATAAAATTAAAGGTTCCCGAAGCGAAACGAGGGCGGGTCGCTAGTATTACGTAACAGATACCATTAAATTATTTTACTATCATGAAGAATGGAATTGATAACAGAACGCGAAATTTTTACAGGTTTATAATAGAAATAAATAAATGATAGTGGCGCAGTTACATTCGCGAACAGACTGTATTGCGACTATCAAATAGCTCTGCAATTGAATACCAATATACATATGTTCACACTTGTACAATTTTTTGTTAAATTCAGAGGTTTTTTTTTCAAAGTTAATAAAGAAATAAGTATAGAACATCTATACTCTATACTAATATTATAAAGAGGAAAGATTTGTTTGTTTGTATTGTATTGAATAGGCTCCGAAACTACTGAACCGATTTGAAAAATTATTTCAATGTTTGGAAGCAACACTATTCCCGAGTGACATAGGCTATAATATTTTTCGAAAAAAATAGGTATCCTTACTAAAACTCCAATAATGTAACCCAAGGTGTAAAAAAATTACCTAAAATATTCTTTACATCGCGTGCCCTGCGAAAACTATTGGTGATAGAATAAAATAATGTACTACAACTTTGTAGAACACATTATTATTTACAAAGAGTGTCGCGACACCATATGTCTAACTAATAAAACAGCGTCAAATATCGTTGAAATTTTTGTTAAAGACCCGAGCGGAGCCGAAGCGGGCCGCTAGTTCATATATAAAGAAATAATTAATGCAGCCGGGGCCTAAAATATTTAATTGTTACGAATTTTACGTAAAGGTATTGACAAAATTGTGAATCTTATTCACTATCTTCTCCATCCTCCACCATTTTGTTAATAAAATCAAATGAAAACACAACCATGTTTTTCTAAATCGATTCAGCCATTATATAGATTGTCAGGCACAAACAGACAAAACTATTAACGAATTTAATTATAATTACGAATAGATATCGATAATGATCGAAATTGTCAAGGTTTTTCAAGTCGACGTATGCTCGGCGGCCTCAAAGATAATGAGGTCATTAGTGGTCACATAATACTGATTTTAATTAAGAACTTGTAGGGTTTTTAGTGACTTTAAACATTTTAAGTAGTTATTGAAATATAAATTGTGTAATATTTCGTAACTAACATGTTACATGTACGCAGTGTTGGAATGAATAAAGAGAGGCGTCGGAATGCTACTTCGAGCTACAATATTCGTGTTCGTATCGTCACTTTTACTGGTGGCAGGATGTCTTGTAAGTCCGCACGGGTAGATACCATCACCCTGCCTATTTCTGCCGTGAAGCAGTAAT